ATAGTCACAATATTTACCATTTAGGAAAGAAGTGAAAGAAAATTAATGCCACAAGAATAAAAAAAAAAAACATGTTAAAAGCCGCATGTAAAGTTTTTGAAGTCAGAACTAAGTTCTAAACTTATACTTATTTTCAGACGCAAAGATTATTCTCTCCATCTTTGTTCTTCTCTGCCTTTAACGTAAAAAAAAGTGGTGTTCTAAATGAAATTCTGATTGAATAAACATATTCGAGCAGCGTGAGTTTCTAAGTTTTGTCCGGTGGTGTTTCCGTAGCCAGTCAATAATCATTCGTTACCATAAAGAACTATATATTGCAAGATAATACAAGACCTCCTACTGTTTTAATTTTTGCGATGGATTGATATCGATACTTAATTTAATAAATTCACGTGAGTATATATTCTGCTTTCTATAGGGGTTTAATGCTATTCAAAACTATTTGGTGGTATTTATATAATTATTCGAAATTCTATGAAAATGTAAAACAAAATGCATCAATCATGACTTTGTTAAATCAATATCTAGGCTATAACTTGCAAAGATATTGTTTACACATAAAATATTGCGTGGGAAATATCAACAAAACAAGAATAGATAAATACAGAATCCCTAAAGAAAGCCCAACACGGCAAAATTGAAAATGTTGCAGGCTCGGTTTGATTGAGCCTGTTCATGGACCCGTGTCCGTTACCAAAATCATTTTCCTCACTTGTATGGGAAAAGAAAATGACCAGTCAATATTCAACTGGCCTAATATTTATATTTTCTAATAAAGACTTTCTCTTCGCTAACTTAACCATGTTTTACCAACTTCAAAAAAAAATGTTCGTGAATGTTACCCGCAAAATAATATTAAAAATTTCGGCTGAATTTTTGAGTATTTGTAAAAACTATAATCACAGTGATGAAAAAATTTACCTATGTGATTCGAATGATATAATGTGCATAGTAAACAATAATGAGACAGGACAACGTAAGAGAATCTTCATTCTAACTTGCTCGAGGGCGTGAAATTTATAAGAAAACAACCAGTGAAAATCGTTTGGCACAGTTTTGATTGACTGGGAATCAACTATGTGTCAAATAGATGTGGAAATTGCTCACTTCTACCATTTATATATTTGAAAATCTCTATCTCTAAATATGTGTACTTACAATTTGAAATCTGGAAACAAAGTGACACTGAAGTGAAGTACGGGGCAACTTTTTACAGCTGCCACACAGCACTTGACACCTGCTGTTGTGAAGTATAAAAATCTGGAAACAAAGTGATCCCTCGGTAGCATTAATCACAACAAAATTACATAAGAATTGCAGACTCGGTTTAATTGAGTCTGTACATGAAGGAAAAGGAATAGGTGCAACATCCCTCACGCCCCCTAGCACCGGCTTGAGCGGTACTCAATTCTCAACACTTAATAGTGCTGGCATCAATGATCCCGAAGGACCATAAAAATATAACAACACTGAAGTGAAGTACGGGGCAACTTTTTACAGCTGCCACACAGCACTTGACACCTGCTGTTGTGAAGTATAAAAATCTGGAAACAAAGTGATCCCTCGGAAGCATTAATCACAACAAAATTACATAAGAATTGCAGACTCGGTTTAATTGAGTCTGTACATGAAGGATAATGAATAGGTGCAACATCCCTCACGCCCCCTAGCACCGGCTTGAGCCGTACTCAATTCTCAACACTTAATAGTGCTGGCATCAATGATCCCGAAGGACCAGAAAAATATAACAACACTAAAGTGAAGTACGGGGCAACTTTTTACAGCTGCCCCGTAGGGAACGTATTACAGTATCGCGTTTTTCGGTTACAGTATAGAATTTTCAAGATGGAGGATTATTTGTTGGGAGGACAGGTAGGTGATTTTTATTCCGGTCCATACTGCAAGTAGTTTAGTTTCTAAAAGATGTTTTTGTGCTTTGCTTGTAAGGAACAGAATCCGGTATCTAGTCATATATTTCTTTAGACCCTGCACCGCAGATTTATCTCTATATTGTCTCATAAATATGCAGGTTTGACAGTTTGAAAATTTGAATCGAGAGACCAACACATTTTTCTGCAATTTATGCATGCCTAGAAAAAGTAAATCTGCAAAACGTTAGTCCTTTATGTTAGGAAACGTTTATAAAAGTAAATGACGAGTTGAATCTATTTTCCTGTTGGTAAAATGCGTTTGTAAAAATAAACAATGTTACAGTATAGAGCGAGGTAATTTGTGCAGGGTTACAGCATAGACCTAGCGATTTGTATCCGATTTTGTTACAGTTCATACCCAGATTTCGGTTACAGTTTAGACTTCGATATTTTCTATATATACTTGGTAAAATGTATGAATGTTACATAGACTTTTAAATCTCTGTGAGCTTATTGGCCCGATGGCTTTTCGTCAGTCTGTCGTACATATGTGTGTGCAATCTCATCCGCTCAGTAACTACTTGACTAAATGTGATGAAATTTACATGACTTTCTACCAATTAAGTTGTTCAAATGGTTTCGGTGGCAATCGGGGATACGAAAACCCAAAACATAGATTTTGAAAAAAGGCAATGTTTAAAGACCCTTCTCATCTCGAACCAAAAGCATTCATCATGGCGTCCTTTCGAATGCTTCTTTGTTGAAGTTACGATTATTTTGTCATTATTAAATTAAAAGTCGTTTTTCTTTATTTCAGACATCCTGTATAGCAGTTTTCAATTTTCTGAAAAAGAAAATTAAAGAGTTTAAATTAAAGTCAGACAATTACAATATTTTCTCTAGTGAGCCTGATGGAGGTACATAATAGTGGCAGAGTCGGGATAAGGCCGTCGACTTCAAATCATCTTTCATTTACTGCTGTAGTTGAAATCCAATCATGACTTTGGATTCTTTGTATGTGAGGAATCTATCAAGCTAATTTACGGAAGGTCGGTGATTCTAGTCAGGTGCCCGCTCGTGTCTTTAATGTTTCACAAAGGATATCTGGGGTCTTTCTTTACACTAAAGCAGACATGTTTTCACATGACTTCAATGTCGTTGAAACTTAAAATCCAAGAAAGCCAAACGTAACAAAATAGAGTTAAACAGAATCCCTTAAGAAATTCCAACACAACAAAATTGAAAATATTCATAAACCCTTTTAAATACTTACAAAATGCATTATGGTAGATGGAAATTCCAACTTAAAATAAAATTAAAGGTTGTAGTATTGCTCACTTAAATACTGTTTAATCATTCTTAGGGTATTGCCTGCCTGTTAATTGTGTCTTTTGGCAGCTTATCTATGGTATGCAAGCTTCATGACCTCCGATCCCCTCTCAAAATTTCATTTTATTTAGATTCACTCATTGTATTCTCGTTTAGGGCACACGCAATTTTTAACCTGGGGTAATATGCCGCTTTTCACAGAATGGCAATAACGTGTCACATTGAAGGTTCCATGATAACCGCCATATGAACACATCCACAGATGTTAAAAAATCTGAAGTGTACCAGTTTAATGTGAATAATGCTGAAGCCGGTGCTAGGAGGCGTGGACGGTAGCTTGCAGTTACCACTACCGTCCATGAACAGGTTTAATCAAACTCAGCCTGCAACATTTTCATGTTTTCCGTGTTGGACTTCTGTTAAGGATTATGTTTTCTCTATTTTATTACTAATAGGCATTATTATAATGTGTAATGATATCAAGCAATAATCTTTCTTCTCTCAATACAATTCGATAAAAGTTATTGTTGATGTCATGAAAACAGTCCTTACTTAGGACATTACTTATTCTGCAAAAACTCTCAATCTGAAACTTAAAGTAAGAAAAATAGCAAACTATAACTTTTCTGCTGAAGAAAAAAAATAATACAGCCTTTCAAGAATGTATTAATTAGAAAGGTATGAGTTATTTCCTAAAAATAATGGATACACGAACTTTGTTTGAAATTTGGCAAGTATCTAAACTGTAACAGAAATCTGGGTATAAACTGTAACAAAATTGGATGAAAGTCGCTAGTCTATGCTGTAACACTTCAAAATTAACCTCGCTCTATACTGTAACATTGTTTATTTTTTCAAACGCATTTTACTAACAGGAAAATAGGTTCAACTGGTCATTTCCTTTTATAAACGTTTCTAAACATAAAAGACTAACGTTTTGTAGATTTACTTTATCTAGGCATGCTTAAATAATGTCGGAATGGGAGAAAAATGCGTTGGTCTCTCGATTCAAATTTTTAAACCGTCAAATCTGCACATAGACAATATAGAGATAAATCTGCGGTGCAGGGTCTGAAGAAATATATGACTAGATACCGGATTCTGTTCCTTACAAGCAAAGCATAAAAACATCTTTTAGAAACAGAACTACTAGTAAAGTATGGACCTGAATAAAAATCACCTACCTCTCTTCCCATAAATAATCCTCCATCTTGAAAATTCTATACTGTAACCGAAAAACGCGATACTGTAATACGTTCCTTACGGTGACACAGCACTTGACACCTGCTGTTGTGAAGTATAAAAATCTGGAAACAAAGTGATCCCTCGGAAGCATTAATCACAACAAAATTACATAAGAATTGCCGACTTATAATCTATATAGCGGCTTTGCTAAGTAGTTTATGCGTCGCGTCGGACTAGTAATGTACGTAGGTGCAAACCCCGTCTTGGGCAGGATTTTTCTTTCCACTCACTGTTTGTTATTGATTGGTTCCAGGAACGGATTCAAGAGGAAAAAGACACACACCTTTATTAAAAAAAAAAGCCTTATACATGTATATATATTTATATTTGTATGGGAGAATTCTATTTTCTATTTTTATGCGGCCAAAAAAAGTGAACGGTTACTTATTGAATTATTTTTAATTTATTTTAAACTTCCTGGTTAATTTGAAGATACAAGTTTGATGCCGTTGACTAACCATGCGTTTGATCTGCCGTAAAAATACTGTTTTACACGTATCTTCAAATTAATCAGGAAGTTTGAAATGTATTAAAAAGATATTTTTTGTTATACACGTGTAGTCTACTTAAATTAATATTTTGTTATCAATGCTATTTACATCTTAACGTTAGAAACGTTAAAAGAAATAGACACTTCAAAGATTGATTTCTTTTTTTCATCAAGTTCATCACCAACAATGATTCAGCTACTTGGACTTACAATTTGTCTTTTGGGAAGTAAGTATAAGTATGTAATGTTATAATTATAGTAATATAGTAAATCATATTTTTTTTGTAAATGTAGATACACATTTTTCTTGTGTAAGATACACATTTATTTAAACATTATTTTTGACAAATATAATGAACAATTTACATACATTAAGTTCATGTGCAAGATGCAAGTACATGAAATGGTCACAATTGATTTAAAGATTAAAGAAAAAAATATTGATCATATTGATCTTTTTTTTCAAAATTGAAAATGCCATGTTTTAATTTGACGAGTGTTTGACTTAAAGCAGCCGGCATTAAATGAAACAAATAAACTTTTCAGCTGTACATATCATATAGAATAAATCAGGTAATAAGATAAACTATTTATGTATCACTCTGAATGATAAGAAACTTACAAAACTATATATTTCCGCTTTAGATAATGATGCAAACCCTTCTACAAAGAAAAGCAAGATATGTTTGTAAAACATGTATGCCCCCTTTTGACAGCCAATTAGTCATGTGATCAGGTTATTATGACTGCGTTTTGACCTAGTGACTAAAATCAATAAGATTTATCTACTGGTCAATGACTAGTCACTAGGTAATTTTGTGACCGTATACGTTGGGTGCAGCAATTTTATTACAAAGTTATCACAAATCTTATCAAATGATATATGCATACATTTTATGAATCATGTAGGCCTCTTTAATGACAGCCAATTTGTTATATTACATAAAATCTTGAAATGTGTACACAAAAGCATTTTTTAGTTTAAACTAAAATTATCAACCAAGGCAACTTGATTTGTCGAGTTATTGGTCGGAAACCGTACTTATGTATGTCGATGTGAATTTGACCTTTGACCCTTAAATCAATAGGGGTTATCTACTGCCCAGACCAATGCAGTTGTGAAGTTTGAATGTTAAGGGTCCATGAGATATTGATCAGAGCGTTTTTACTTATAAGACCAATGTGATTTTGACCTCTGGCCCCTTGACCTCAAAAATTGATTGAGATGCATCTGTGAAGTTTGAAGGTCAGGGCTCTATGGGTTGTCCAGTTATTGATAGGAAACTGTTTTGACGTACAAGGTAAATGTGACCTTGACCTTTGACCCCAAAAACAATTGGAGTCATCTACTGGCCAAGTCCAATGCATACTACCTCACTTAGACTATTGTTGCTCTATCTGGGGAAATTGTAATATGGAGCAAATACAATCCATAGTTCGATTTCAAAAACGAGCAGCTAGGATTATACTAGATCAACCATATGATGCCCCGTCTGAAAATCTATTCATTTTATTAAACTGGATGAAATTCCCAGACCGAGTCAAATATAAACAAGCAATTATGGTATATAAGTCAATCAACAATATTTTGCCCAGAGTACTTAAAACAAAAATTTACCTTCAACCATTTACTATTCATTCTCGCACCCTACGTTCAACAGATTCAAACTTAACATTATACCAACCAAAACCAAAAGTAGAATTTTTCAGAAAAAGTTTTAACTATTCAGGATCAAAAATTTGGAATGAAATACCAATCAGCATACGCTCTGCACAATTGCTTCAAAACTTTAAACATTAATACATAGAAAATTGGAAAAAGACAAATCAAATATAAAATTATAAGAAATACACTGCTCTAATTGAAATATTGTTATTGTCAAAGGTTTATTTGTAATTTTGAAATGCCTTGTTCACTGTATATATTTTTGTGCACTTTATATAATCATTATCATTATTGTCTATTTGCAATATCAAAATAATTATGTTAATGTTATTGCATAATTTTTCATGTTATTCACAACTGTATAATTGTAAATATATGTGCAATTTATGAGGCCCACAGGGTAGATTGCCTTTTGATGCAACTGTGTAGCCTCTTGAAATAAAGACTTTTATTATTATTATTATTATTATTATTATTATTATTATTATTATTATTATTATTATTATTATTATTATTATAATGCACAAAGGGCCAACAGCCAATGGTTTGTTCAAGTTATTGAATAGAAACAGTTTTTACCGACAAGGTCAATGTGACCTTGGCCTTTGACCTCTTGACGCCAAAATCTTAGGGTCATTTACTGGTCATGAACAACAATCATAAGAAGTATGAAGTTTTTAGGCCCAAACGGTCTTTAGTTATTGACCAGAAACCGTTTTTATCTACAAGGTCAGTGTGACCTTGGATGGCTTGGGTGTGTTGGGGGCTGCTTCCTGTGAACGTTGCCTTTCCCTTGTTGATCTTTATTATTACCTTTTTTTACCTTTGACCCATTGATTCCAAAATAAATAGAGGTCATCTACTGGTTATGAACAATCATTATACCAAATTTGCAGTCCCTAGGAAAAAACGTTCTTTAGTTATTGATCGGGAACCGTTTTTAACTACAAAGTCAATGTAACCTTGATCTTTGACCCCAGAATCAATAGGATTCATCTAATAGTCATAAACAATCATCTTACTAGATTTTAAGTGCATACGCCTAAGCGTTCTTTAGTTATAATTCGAAGACCGTTTTTAGCAACAAGATAAATGTGATCTTGACCTTTGACCCCTTGACCCCAAAACCAATAGGGGTCCTCTACTGGTCATGAACAGGTTACTGTTAAGTTCCTAAGCCTAAACGTTCCTAAGTTTTTGATCGAAAACCATTTAGACCGACAGACCAACCGACCGAACGACCGACAGACAAATGCAAAGCAATATACCCCCACTTCTTTGAAGTATGGGGTCGAACGTATAGCGTTGCGATAAATCTTTGAACGAGGCGAAATCATGCGATACGGAATAATGACCGAAGAAAGTGAAAATGAAAGTTGGTATGAGCATGTTGTTATCCAATATTTGTTGCATATTGTAATTTCTTGAAGAATAGCATTGTGCATTCTAATCAGATAATTGTGCATGGTCGTCAAAATAGATTCTAAATTTTAAAGTATTGAGGAAGTTTTTGAGGTATTTGTTGCTGCAAATCAACCGTCAACCTGATATGCACTACAGTATCAGTAGTTTTAAAACGAGATATTCGATTCGTTAAAGTTCCGACATGTTTATTTTTCATAACAACGATGTACAAGAGTAGTTTTTCATATCTATTCGAAAATACATATAATATTTCCAGTTTTCTTACTGTACGTCTAATAATTGGTCCGATAAACTAACTGTACGCACACAATTTGATGTGTTTTTCTGTAGCGAAGGGGACTTCCTCATTACAATACACTCTAATTCAATATTGATGAAATATCAAGTTTTGTGTTTGTATGTTAACCATAAGTTAACCCTAGTGTCAATAAAAACAACAGTGTCAATTATTGTATCTTACTACGATATAGTTAATTTAAATATTCTTTTCTCACAAAGGTTAAATATTGAAATGAGATAAGTTATTGCACAGGAACGTGAAATTCTATCAAGTAACCAATAGCAACTATAATATTCGTTTTGATTTTTAAATATATTCAGTAAAGGTTCTATTCTATCATTTAATAATATGTTTTTCTATTATATTCCATGCAGTGGTCGGAAAACACGCTTCCCAAGTGTCATTTTAGGTCAAAGATTAAAGCCATTGTGACACTATTATTATACAGGCTTGAAAGTACTCCTACTTGTTTCCTACTTTTTTAACAAACATTCCTACTATTCCTGCTTTTTGAATAAAAATGAAACTAAAAAGTGTCTATATTAACATGTAAAAGTTGCAGTTTGAAATGTACTACATGATATAAGGACTGATGGCATAATTATATGGTTTCACTTTTGTAAAGGTCCCTTACGAGTCCTTAAACATGCTTCTGTAACCTCTTATGCATGCTAGTGCCTTTCTAAATTGTTGTGAACTGCTGTTTGTTTTTGCCTTAGTGGCAAGTTGGAGTTAAAAAACATTTTGAACTTGTATGTTGCCTTTTATGTGAATCATATGTGATGTAGAAATTATGTGCCCAAATGATGTGCAAAACCGATGGGGGGGGGGGATTATGCACCTATCACTTGGTCTGGTCGGGATACCAGGATTAAGATACCTTTATTGAAGATATTAAAATTTTTATTTGAAAAATAAAAGTAAAAAAAGATTAATCACAAACAAGATACAGTACAAAAAACAAGACTCTTGTTGAAAATGGCGACAACTTTTTGGAATGAAGATACAGTAAATATGAAAGTTGTTAAAATTGAGTGATGACAGGAACATAGTAATCAAAGAGCTTAGTTAATCACAAGAAGATATCTAATTATTAACATTTGGTTCAAATAGTAACACTTATATAGACGGTGCGAAACTTTCATTCGAGGAAAGAAGAAGGTATCTTTTTCTCAGAAATCCGGAAACGGACACATATATGGAAGCTCTCTAAGTATAATCGTTGGAAAACATGTACAACAGATGTAATAATGAAAAAATATTGAACATTGAAGTTCACTTTGAACTTTGTCCGGGACATAGCTCTGAAATCATTAGAGGTAGCTGTGCAGTGCAAAAGAACCGTAATTCTGCTTTGCTTCTTTGGAGTTATTGCCTTTTTTCAATTTTAAACATTGAACTTTGTCCAGGACATGTGAAACTACAAGAGGTAACATGAAGAAACTTAGTCGGTAGATAGATCTCGTCGAGTAAAAGTGCAGTGCAAAGAACAATTACCATGATTTTCCTAATTCTGGAAAAATTGCACTTTGAATTGTTCAAATTAAACTTTGGCTGGGACATACATTTAAATCAACAAGAAGTGTACCTTTCTGTGCGGAGAGCAGCACCTGGTTCACTTATAATGATAACTGACTGTGTCAATAATTGAAAATGACTTATATTTGCTTATCTGTTGTTCACGTTGCATGAATGTATGTAATCGTGTCCGTTTTCGATAAAATTATACATCTTTTGATATTGCCTTTTCAGGTACAATTACAGCAGAAAATATTACATGCAGCAATTTTTGTAAACGAGGTGTAGATAATACAACGGAGACGTGTAACACTACTACTGGTGAATGTATATATGGCTGTATTGTGGGCTTTGCTGGACCAAATTGTTCTTATGAATGCCCAGATACTTGCATATATCCAGCAGAAAATGAAACAGGGACATGTAAATATATAACTGGGGAATGTGTCCATGGTTGTGAGGATGGATTTTATGGTTTAAACTGCACACAGAGATGCTCTGACATAGACGCAAACTGCGGACGATGTGCATCAAACTATAATGAGTAAGTATGCAGTAAAACAAATTATCTTTTTTTTGTACCGGCATTGAATGTCAGAAGTGTAAAAGCAATTTCTATATGTCAACTAGTAAGTGTTTATCGTGTAACTACTGGTATTTTATTGTATCTGGGCATGCTGGGCCGACCTTTAGGCAAGAGTATAGATATTGCTACCAGCTTAACGATACGTCGATGAGGCCTTTTATGTATACGTACGTCTATACGCTGGTGCAGTTGTCCGCAGGTTCGTTTAAAAGGACGACAATGACAGACCTCAAAGAGCCAGAGTCACAAATGAGAATCGGGAAAAATGTAAACTGGCCCGCAGGATTTCCAGATCTAACCCTAATTGAACATGTCTGGGACATTATACAGAGAGCGATTTCAGCCCGCCCTGTTAAGCCAACAACTCTCCAGGAGCTTAGATAGGCCCTCTTAGAGGAGTAGGTTCGAATCCCACAAGGCGCCATATCAGTATCATGAAGTGACGCTGTATGCCGTAATCAACACAAATGGGCACAAATTCGATATTGACAACATCTTTACACTTTTCGTTCACTTTCATATTCATTCCACTAGTATCATCCATGTACATACACCTAAAAAGGAGTCACCCTTATTCAGATTACACCGTTGTCATGCGTCATTGATTAATCAGAACAAAACAAAAAACAACAAATTAATACACTGTAAAATATCAAAATTATTAAAATATTATTTTTAACTTTTTGATTGTAGTATACCAAATAAAATATAAACAATCTAATTAGTGATCCCTATCAAATATTGACAAGTACACGTATATAACCACCACTCTTAATACTGATATTTCGTGGCTCTATTTTTTAAAGTTATAGGCATTACCAAAGTTATGCTTGGCAGAGGAATTGTATCTGTTTTTTCTTGCTGTAACTCCTTTTTGCTACTTATGACTTATAACATTCATTAGATAGCATTTTATAAAATTTAGGTAAATTTGATTAACTTACATTTTTCAGCAAAATTGAATGCAAGCAGTGTAGAACAAACTTTTATCTGTCAAATGGAAAATGTTTATATTGTAACTACTGGTGTTTGGTTGTATCTGGTAGTGCTACGCCGTTATGCAGGCATGAGGATGGATATTGCAATTATGGTTGTAGACCAGGACGTTATGGTTTCACGTGTGGGTTAAAGTGTAGTTCTACGTTTAGGGATGTGTGTAACAGAGAAACTGGTAATTCTTGTGTTTTATATAATAACACTTCCCGCATTTGTTTTTTTTTTCGAGAAGATTCACAGTTTAAAAGAATTTTAAGAAAATATTCATGGTATCAAATTTTAATTAAATATGACTATCAGCACATTAGATAAATGCCAAAGACAGGTCGTTTTCAAAAACCGGCCGAAATAATCTGACAGAATAACCGTCGTATACAAGCATCAGAATTTAAACATCTGAAATATGTCATTTTGATTTTTAAAATACTCGGTAAAAGTGTACGATGGTTTGCCAGTTTCATTATTAAAGCACTGAAGTCGTGAATGCGAAGTAGACAATTTTCATTATCTACTATCATACTTGAAGGCTTCAAAATGCGTGATTTTAAGTTATGCCACCTAGAAAACAGTACTTTTGGGATGACGTATATCGGTCAGTATGAAAAATGTGATTTGATATTTAAATCAGATATAAGAGAATATACAAGACTAACAATTCAATGATCAAAAAGCACATACATAAATCCTCTTTTAAAAGTATCATTAAACGATTTTTCATCATAAATTCAGATTGAAACAGCAAGATTGTTTCAGATTAACTTTTATTTTAATTACCCGTGTATTACATAATATATCACCACTGGTGGGTAAGCAAGATGGTTAGTGTCAGACAGATTGACACGAGACCCGTTTTCCCCAACTAGTTTACCGTTTAATTCTATGACAGAGTAAATTATTTTGAATTACGATAATCTACACATTATCTATGTTTGGAATTAATTTCTCAGCTGGCAATACTCATTGAGATATCATGCCGGCAGAATCAGATACTACAGACCTTGGTGACCATTTTGGGTTTATAACATGGTCTGCAAAATCCTACAGAACTCTTCTATTGCACTATCAGAATTGTCCGTGCAAAATGGTTGTAACTTGAGATACAACCATATTGCACAAAAAATTAAGAGAAATTTGAGATACAACCTTCTGAAAAATATTTATTTAACTTGTTTATTTTTAGAATCAATTGATAATACTTACTGTGGCTATGTATAACCACAGAATACATTGAATGTTTTTAAAATGTGATTTTGTGAAAATAATGATGAGTTGCAACCGTTTTGAGTCGAGCCCACGACTGGTCTGTCTAGGTAGGTTTAGATTCATTACTTAATAATGTTAAAAACATCAAGATAATACATTCTACTAGTTTCAACTTCAGTACGTCTTCATCAGAATGAAAAACAACAACACACAAATTAGTAAATGTCCATTCAGGGATATAAGGAAAATGGAAGTAATAAAACCGAAAAAAGAACAACGTTTAATCTATATCACTACATGAGTGTTGCATAATATACAATATAGAAATAATGTAGAAATAATGTTGTATAACCAGAACCCATAAGTGAAGCGAGTTGGTCTGTATGTTATTATTATTCATACACATTCCATTCTATAAAGTATATTGATTATAATAAAAAACGACATTTAGTTATATATCATAATGTATCTAATATCTGTTAAAGGAAAATGTTCAGAATGTGGATATCCAAGTTATTGCGGACCAACTTGCAAAATATCATGTCAGTATGGATGTTTGTTACAACAATGTAATCAAACTTGTCAGTGCACGAAAGGATGTGTAGCTACACACTGGGGAGAACAATGTCGGAGCCCATGCAACACAAACTGTATGAAACCACCAGATTATACACGTCGTGTTTGTAATGGAATCGATGGGACATGTTTGTATGGTTGTAATGGCAACAAATATTGGGAAAGTCAATGCACAGAACTTTGTTCTAATGGATGCATAAAGGGAACATGTGATCAAGAATCTGGGGTATGTATAGGAGGATGTACAACAACACAAGTTTATGGTCAGAGTTGTGATGAATCTTGTTCAAGTGGGTGTTTAAATGGCACATGTGATCAAGAATCTGGGAATTGTACCGAAGGATGCACAAGTAAAACGGTATATGGTTCTCGATGTAATATTTCATGTAACGAAAATTGTGATGGAGGGACATGCAACAGAGATACTGGATATTGTGATAAAGGATGCAAGACAGGAACATACGGAAATAAATGTGACATACAGTGCAGCAAAAGTTGTATGGGTCGCGCATGTGATAGGATAAACGGATTGTGTACTTTTGGTTGTGTACTTGGGAGGTACGGACACCAATGTGAAGTAATCTGCAATGACAAATGTTTGAACCTGAAATGCGAAAGAATCGATGGACAATGCACATATGGGTGTATATTAGACTACTTTGGATCTGAATGTAACTTCACTGAAACCCTAGAGAAAAACGACGAGAAAGGTATGATAAAAAAATTCACTGTTTCAATAAAAAAAAACTCATTTCCCTTCCAATTCCAATGTTACTCTTAATTAAAATAATGTCACGCACCAAACTATTAGTTAATACATTACACTTAAATGACTGAATTTGATACTTTCATTAAATTATGAACAAATTAATTGATATTCAAGCTTTAACTTAAGTTTCAAATGCCAGTTGTTATGTCAATTTATTGCAGAAATAAGTAATGAAGACAGCACTATGTTTTGGATCACTATATGTGGTTGGTCTTTGTTTGTTATATTTATGGTTACTGCAGTTGCTGTTGATGTTTTAAGAAGACGAAAGAAACGAAAAGGTAATGTTGGTATCAATTCAAGGTTAAATATAATTGTAACAATATTAGAGAATTAGGAATAGTGATCTTTCTATACATTGATATTTAGAATGTATTTTGTTAAAAACTTAATTTTTCAGAAAATAAAAGAACATTTTTATTCAAGCGTTTGTGGATGCACATATTTGAAAAGCGCGATTATCATGTCAACAAGTCTTTTCCTTCTTCAATACTCTAATATGTTTGCCTTTAAATAACCAGCCGGCAAAAACTATATTTGTGTTTTTTACAGGTAACAGAAACCAAGCAGATACAGCCATTGAAGATCAGTCACCGATATCGTACGTATAAGAATGTATATCATGTTGTATGAGAAAAGTAAAAATCTTTAACTATCGGATGTTCTTTAAAAATCTGGTTTTTTAGATATATTTTTAAAGTCAGGTGACTAATAAAGTAAGTATTATGTTCAATATAAGAGACTCTTGTCAAACACGTTTGTAACCAATAAAATGGAAACCTAATAGAACGCACTCCATGGCTTAATTGGAAAATGTTTCAGTTTGATTGAAATTTTGCATGGAAGGAAATACTAAATGCATGCTATCGCCTTCAGTGTTCTTACATTTTTCTTGCCCTCAGGATCATTGGTTCCAACACTTTAAGTGTTGAAACCTGTGTACCGCTCAATTCGGTGCTACTGGGCGTGAAGCATGTTGCATTTTTGCATTATCTCTCATGTATACATTCAGTCAAACCGAGTCTGCATTTTCCATGTAATTTTGATATAACTAATGCTTCCGACGGATCACACTTTATCCACAATTTGACCCTATATCAACAGTTTTAGCAAAACTCTATATTATGGTGTTGAGTAAAACTCTTCATAGTGTGCCATTCGCAAATATGCTCATACGACAGTTATCATCTAACCTTCAATATGATGCTTTCGTTTCATTCTATGAACGCGGCGAAAGATTTTCAAAAAGGATAATTTGTGTGTCCTAAACATGTCAACAATGAGCAAGTCAAATTCACGAGTAAATGAATAATTAATCCCTTTTGGACACATTGACCTTTTAGCTCTCTGAGACAATAATCTTGTCAATACAAACCGAGTGTAAAAACTAGTTAACCATAAACGTTTCTACATTTTATTTCAATTACAGTTTTCAGCAAGGGTATACAACATTACAGCATGAACAAGGTGATGTGAAAAACTACGAGAATTTACAGCTCTGAAGATTCATATTGTCATATGCTACAGCTTAAGACTCTTAACTATATTGTTAGATTAAACTTTTCTATATTATAATCAAAGAGTTTACTGTTTTTTTTTCTGGAAGTTCTACTGTTGACACGCTAACGTAATCATAAAGGTGAAACTCAATCTCTTTTTATTAAATCAATTTATGCGATACTGTTTTCAATTTATTCTTCATATCGTATAAAGAATTGTTTATATTGTCTATTGTATTATATCTATGGCCCAGCTGGATTAGACAAATTCATTTTAGACGCTGTTACATGGAAATACAAGTCAATTTAAATGTATATTAACGACAGGCCGATGGGGACATTTGAACTACTTGAACTTATGATTTCATCTTTGTATATTCACATTTTAACTTCGTTTATTAACGTTTTCAACTTACGTAATTCACGAACTCAAGATTTCAACTTCATGAATTCATGATATCAACTTTTCAAAACAGTTCATTTTTTGAACTTCAGGAAGTTTAAATCGAGATTTCACGTTATTAATAACATGAATTCATGACGTTGAAATCGTGAATTTGCGAAGATGAAATCGAGAATTCACGAAGTTGAAATCCTGAGTTCATGAACTTGAAATCGTAAAGATGAAGTCGTAAAAATAAAAAGAATTACTTTGTGTAGTTGAATTTTTAAAAGAGAAATCGCGAATTTCGAGAGGTTGTTATCTTGAATTCATGAAGTTGAATTCCCGATTTCCTGAATTCTGTATGTTGTATTAGTGAATTCGTGAAATTGACATTTTGAGGACATGAGGATGCACCCGAGAATTCAAAAGGTTTATGTGACACTAAATAAAACAAGAGGACCGCTAAGGATGAAACATTTGTAAGACATTACATGAATTAAATAAAGTATTACCTCCTTCAAATAGCAATCCTCCTATAAAGTTTGAATATTGTCGGCCAAATGGAACTCAAGTTATGCTCCGGAAACTGTTTTCAGTTTTGAGGTAATAGCGACCATGAACTTTGACTTTGTGACCCGAAATCAATAGGGGTCTTCTACTCAATATGGACAATCATCCTATGAAGTTTGAACACTGTGGGCCAAAGGGAACTTAAGTTATGCTCCGGAAACCAAATTACTAACGGACGGACGAACGGAAGCCAGGGGTATAACATAATATGCCTGAAATTCTTTCGGGCATATAAAAATGAACAGAAAATAATAAATCAATAAATAAAAACAAACAAACAAATAAAGAAAAAAAAACAACAAAAAATTATACTCTTCCACACGGTAAGAGTGATTTGGTCAGCATTGGAAAGTCAATACATGCCACCAATTGTCAAATAGTTACTAAAACTTATTTTTTTGTTAATAATGCTGTTATTATGGCAACATGAAAAAACATTATGAAGAAGGAACATCTTTATTATAGTTTATGTTTATAAGCAAGAGTTTTTATATCTAAATGATTTTTTTCATTTAATTTATTTAACAAAGTGTACGATTTCACACAAAATTTATTATCCCACATTTTGTAAACTTCCTAGTTCGATGATAAAAGTTTAATCTTGATGTCAAACCATGCGTTAAATGCCATTTCAATACTGTTATACAATTCATTAAACTACAATTTGTTATGAATGCTGATTACATCTTCATTTGGAAATAAACCTTTAACAATGAGACACAACTTTAATGTTTTGTATATTCGCAATGATTATAAATTTTCAATAATGATTGAGCAATTTGGACTTACGATTCTGCTATTAGGAAGTAAGTAAAGTTATATTTAGTATGCAATGTTATAAAAGGCATGCAGTAAATTATCTGGTTATTAGTCAACTCTAAATAAGCGCCATGTCTATAACTCCTAATAAGTATGTGTATGGAGTATTGGTTTGTTTTACACTGTATTGCAATCAAAGACTTAAATCTAGAGATCTTTAACAATCGGAAATAAAACATATCTGATTAAATGTACAGGCGACATTTTACAGTTTCCACAGGGCAATAACGTTGATGTGGCGATAAAATAAAGAAAATATGAATCCCAAATAAAGTCCAAAAACGGCACAATTGAAAATGTTGCAGGCTTGGTTTCATAAAACCTTTTCATGGACGGTACTGTCAAGTGCAAACAACAAGAACAACTTGACCATGACGTTGTCAGTTTTTAAACAATTTCTTTTTAAATCAAATTTGTATTGAATATTATTTATGAAAGTATAATACAACTTAAATGTTATAATTATCTAACTACTTAACACCTTTGTTGTTCTATTATGATATTTACAAATTTTAAGATGAACAGTTTGTAAGCAACATATTCTGTCAAGATCCCATGATTCAGTTTAGAAAATACGTCAAAATTATCCCTTTTCCTTAATATGATCCAAAATTTTCATTACCTGTTTTGTACACTTTTAAAAAAGTTTTTTTCTCCAGAATATATGTGATTGTAATGTCTTAGATTTTAGGGTCTTTAAAGTGAATCTGTAGAATGTTCACTCAAGATTTGTAATTCATTTATAAACAAAATTAGGTGGTGGTTTAAAAAAAGGTCAACCCATCTGTGTATTTTATGGAACCGATTGAGTTTTAAAAATTAATATATAAGAAGATATTTGCACTGTGTGTCCTGTTTAAACGTTTACCAGGAAGTCCAAGGCCAATGTTTCATAATAACCCAGTCACATATAGCAAAAAGCATAATTAAAATAACCATTCATTTTACAACCAAATCGTCGATTTGTTTTCACTCTAAAAATGGTTTTCTTCATAAAATTTTGATGTTTCTTCTTTTAAATATGGTCACAAAGTTCAAGATGTTCGACACTCGATCTCTTCTTATTTTATTATGTTTGATATAAACTTAGGCTCAGTCATACCAAGCCTGCAACATTTTCAAGTTGTCGTTTTGGGCTTTCTTTGGGGTTTATCTACTTTATTTTTTATAAAGACAATATATCACCCATTATTGAAAGAGTTGTTTGTATAGATATTGTAGTCTATGAATATACTTGCTGTTCTTTAATATAATCTACTCTTCACTACTTCTCTTTAGTGTTGTTACATTTTCTCGACCTTTGGGATCATTGAGTCTAGCTCGTTAGTGTTGAGATTGAATACCACTTAAACAGGTGCTAGGATGCTTAAATTATATTGCATATTTTCATTATCTCTTAAGAACAGACCTTATCAAAAGATGAAAAACAAGATCCTCAAGGAAGTGCGCCGTTCATTGAGCGCAACCGAAACAAACCAAGCCTCCAACGGTCAGATTATATTGCTGTACTCAATGCTTCCGAAAGATCATCAGTTTTACACATCTATCTTTTCAATATGATGTTTTGTTTTATATAAAAAATGAATTTCATACCTTTCAAATATTATGGTTTATTATTGAAAGGGTGATTTTAAGCATTGTGGCCTCCAGAGTGTTACGCACATATGCATTCACATATATTATTACGGCAATATTAGGTTCACGTTTATGTGACGCGACTTGTTATATGTTGTTATGTTGACGTCATTAATATGAATTGCAACCGGTAATCGATAATCTTTTGCTTAGTTAGTGTTTACACAACACCAAGTTTTCTCTGTAAATGATTTGGTCTTTGTGGAGGAGATCTGAACTTTCCGCTTCTTATGTCTCCTTTCTGTTGCGAAGAAGTAACCTTTTCTGATGCTTCCTTTGCAATTATATATTGGCTGAATATTTTCCGAAGTTATTCGAAGTCTAGGTTTGTCCAGATCCTTTCAACATTTCAAGTTGTAGTAAAACTTCTGATGGCAGCTTCCTTAATTTGTTTGACAATCATTTATTGGTTCTCTCAAAAAAACTCTTAAGATATTAATAGCAACTGAGTGGTTTTCATTCGTTAAGGAGAGTCCAGATATAGCACCAAGGGCTTCTGCTGTAACTTTACTTCTTAGATAATTGAATTTTTAATTCCTGACAATTGACTGTTGTAATGGATTGCACTGGCAAATTGATTTCCATTTTTTGAAGTTTAATCGTAACACTCACCTCCTAATCCTTTGTTATTTGTTGATCAAGAAAATCTTTCTGTAACCTGAGCTGATGGTCAAATACTTATTTCAGTTCATCTGACAATGATGGTTTCTCCTCTCGTAAGTCTGTCTTCGGCTCGATTAATTTCATTTTTCTAATTTAATTGAACTATCAAAAATCCTTTGAATTCAACCCATTACGTTATATACACGCCTTTTAACGCCTTTTTCACCCCCCCCCCTTTTTGTTGTCTCAAATGGTGGAAAAATGCCTTATTTAGGGCGTTGCCAGAAGGGGGATGTGCCCCCTTCTGTTTGGGGGTTTGAAGGGGGCGGAGTCGCCCTCATCGCCAAGAAAATTTGTGAACCTTGTGAAAGGCTATAAATGACGCACAGATTGACATAAGTGTACTACCTTAAGATATATAGCAACGCTGAAAGTGTTTTGCATCTGTATTAAGCAGATCCAGATATAGCACCTAAGGGCTTCTGCAGACTACTTTTGAAATCAATTTTTGAATGGAAAAATCACTGTTAAATAGTGATTCTTGGCAATTTGAGATGTTCCATCTTGCAAGTTTAATCAGAAATTAACGCCCTACGCTTGTTTGTTGCAAGGCAAATGGTCAGTCACATTTGTGCAATTTGATAGTGTTGAAAGCAGGCATTTTTTTAGTTACTACAATGAGAATTTGAACTGCTAACGTGGAGACTGTTTCCATTGATTAAATTTGCATTTTTCTCATAATGCTCAATGAAGTAATGTTAAGAATATTGGCAAAGCCCTATCACAAATATACGAATCCTCTTCAAGAACTTGATGAATAAGATTTTCATTTCATTTTCCGAACCTAAAGCTAAAGCTAACTTTTCAGACTGCTCATCAAATTTCCAAATATAAGTTGTAATTTTATTCGTGCATTTCAACACTTGTTTGGCAAAATCCTTAAATTCTACCCTATCTATACTTTCATAGTCTAATGCGATTCCAATTTCAACTTCCTTTTACAAAGGTCTGGAATACATTGTACGCACACCTTTGAATACGGTAAATAAGCAGACATACTTACTGCTTACTGTAAATGGAACTGCAAAATCCTGCTAAATCCTTTCAGGTTTTCTATTCTTTAAAAAACCTTGAAAATCACTCATTTTCGATTTAATTCACGTCCAAACTACACAGGAATATCTAGTGCACTCGTTCTTCTCCGTTTTTAATTCCTTTTCACGAAACACTTCAAACATGTTCCCGGTTCCGGCACAATTTTCAATGTCGTGAATTTTTTGACAATTTCTTTCACAACATTGAAGAGTGAGAACCCCCATTGAAAATTTCAACTTTAACTTAAAACAACTATAAAGAAAAAAAAACACCCTTTGAATTTAATTTCTTCTTTTATCTATTAAAATTGATCTGCTCCGAAGTTTAACATTAAGAAATTCTGAAACCAATGCCTACGTGTGTGGCTTTTATACAAATATTTTCCCCCTTAAGTTGTGAAATACAAGAAACGCATTAAAAGCAAAATACATAATTTTTGTGTGCAAAGGACAAGCGTATATAATTATCGGACAGGAAATATTTTTACGAGATTTGTATTGAATTTGTGGTCGATCAGCACGTGCAAAATAACAGATCATAAGCTAATGCCGTTTTTTTATTCAGGAAAAAAATATGGTTCAATTGACAAAATGGAAATCGTTTGAATTCCAATCGGTCTAAGAATCCGCTGTTTTCTAAGTTTGTTGTGTTATCTTTTTTATAGTTTCCATTTCAAGTTCCCTAATTGGTCTATGTAAGATTTTCAAATTTTATGGTTTTAGGCTTTTGAACCTCAGTGGAACTCCGTTTAACTGATTTTTAATTATTTCTGGATTTTATGCCTGGATTTCAACTGAAGAAATGATCTTTTACGGAATTCAATAATTTTATTCCCTGTTAAAGTGACATTATGCCTATTCAATTGTATAAATGAGTGAACATGTGAATGCCAAAATAAATTTTCATTTTGCCATATTTCCTTTTAATATAAAATTTAATTTCACATAAACAATAACCAACGCACGGATCCAAGCAAATTTTTGGTAAATATCCATTAGAATTTACCTGTAACATTCAGTTCATAAAAAAGAGTGGGACAGTCTTTTTATATTTAAGGCAGTTTTAAATTTTATTTAAACATTTTTCAATATGAACTGTTTGTCAATCACCATTTTAACAGTCAATCTTTTGAAATATATTGTCTGTTAAGCTGAGCTTGGCTATGAAAATATAAGCATATAAGCATAATGTCACTTTAATACAATATTCAATGCTTATTTTGAGAGATGGCTAAGCATAATGAATGATATAAAAAAAAGACTTAAAATCTTTTGTCAAAATCATATACTTTCTATTACTAATATATATCAATTCTTAAGTTTACATTATTAAGAGTTATTTTGATGAACTGGTTGACTTATTAGAAATTGATCGAAAATTTATGCAAGCTAGTAAACAACAAATTGAATGATATTATTGTCATAAGCCAGACTTGTGTATTGTACTCAATATAGCGAAATTAATCAACAAAAAACGATATTACACCAACATAAATAAATGGTGTATAAAACCTATCTAATAGTGTTTATCTATCATACATGTTTGTATTCAAAGTGGCGGCGTGGCCGAGTGGTTAACGCGTCGGATTAGTAATCTAAGGATTGCTGACCGCGTGGGTTTAAACCCTGTCAGGGCCAAGCCGTTGTTTCCTTGAGCAAGAGACTTTACATTCATTGCTTAGTACTGGTTGGTTCCAGGAACGGATACGAGAGTGTTTCAATAAGCTTATAGCTTCCAACACAATCGAACTAAAATAAATTTGTATAAACTAAAGGGGTATTTTTACAAGATTTAACAAGTCTTTTCATTGTTAACAATGGATCTTTTTGTCATGTTTTATAATAAGGAGAATAATTGTACGTACTAATTATAAACCTTCTAAATAGTGACGTTGTTAACATTCTATATAGTGAAGTCGTTTATGTTCCGAATACCGAAAATGCACAAAAAATAGAATAAAAAAATAGCAGGACATATTTTTTCCGGACATTTTAATAGTCCATTTGTCTCTAATCCCTTATTTAAAGAAATCATGTGGGTCTGTTATTGATAAATTAGTAATAAAATGTGTTAAAATGACCTGCCGCTAAGATATGGCCAAACATGTTACAGCTTAAGAAAAAGTAAATTAAGAAAAAAAGGATAGCTAACTGAATTGACCAAGACAGCGGTATAATTTTAGTATAACTTGTGTCTTTTGTGTGTTTTATTAATATCTCTCCGTTACAGCAGACACCAACATTTTGTCTGCTGTAACGGAGTTAATCTTATAAATATAACTAAAAGTTAAAATTTAGTTCTAACCAAAATCAACATAATAATTACATTGTTTTTACGATTTCCATATGAAGTGTCCAAAGTTAAACTAAAATATAATTTTGTAGAATATTTATACTTTATGATTTTACCATTACAAAATGACTAAAATTTATGTCAACATTTTGAGGGTGAAATCTATAAGTAATTTGCCGGTCGATAAAGAAGTGTTTATTGACACACTATTCTTTATAACGTGACATATAATAACTACAATTGAATTTAAATTTCTTTTTTAAATAGGTACATACTACGAGAGCAACGATCAAATATATATTTTTAGCTTTATTTCCGCTTTTTGTCAGAAGTCAATTCGTGTTAAGTATTTTCAGAGGGTTTATTGTTGTCGTGCAGACTTGTAAGAATTATATGCTTTTTTCAAAGCTGTAAGAGCAGAGGACATAACGTGCAGCAGTTACTGTATGACAGGTCCAGACAACACAACAGATACATGTACTACTACCGGTGACTGTTTATATGGCTGTAGCACGGGTTTTGTCGGGCAAAATTGCATGATCGAATGCTCATTTGGATGCGCATTTTCTTCACAGAATGACATAGAACTATGTAACAGCTCAACAAAAGAATGTTTCCATGGATGTAAACCATATTTTGTAGGTGCAACATGTTCCTTCAAATGTCCAGACACGTGTATGGTATCAACAGATCCAAAAGCGGAAGTTTGTAACATCAGCACTGGGGAATGCTTATTCGGGTGTCTGTATGGTTTTGCAGGACCAAACTGCACGATAATATGTCCAGATAAATGTGGAATATCTGAAGAAGTGTATATACAAACTTGCAACGCAACCACTGATGAATGCTTGTTTGGGTGTAAACAGGGATTTGGAGGACCGGATTGCACAACGATATGCCAAAACACGTGTATAAGACCAGCGTTTAATGATACTGAAACATGTGATATCACCGGGACTTGTGCTTTAGGATGTACAGCGGGATATGCCGGTCATAACTGTTCGTATGAATGTCCTGTCAACTGTAGTACACCCGAAAATAGTACGGAAACATGTAATTCTTCAACTGGAGAATGTTTACATGGATGCAAAGATGGTTTTGCGGGTCTAAGTTGTTCCATTAAGTGTCCCGAAAATTGTTTTTCTCTCAATTATGAAACCTGTAATTATACAAATGACGAATGTCTGCATGGGTGTCATAAAGGATTTGCTGGGCAAAACTGCTCATATGAATGTCCTGTGAACTGCACCTATCCAACAATGGATGGGGAGGAAACTTGCAATTATACTGATGGAACATGCATGAATGGATGTAACAAAGGTTTGATGGGACCAGACTGTTCTTATCCATGTCCAGAAAATTGCAAACTTCCTGATCGAGATGGAGAAGATACTTGCAATTTTACATCCGGGGAATGTCATCTTGGGTGTAACAATGGTTTTGATGGACCTAATTGTTCATTCGAATGCCCAAAGAATTGTTTATTTCCTTCAGAAAACGAAACAGGAACATGTAATTTTACGTCTGGTGAATGTTTACATAGTTGTAATAATGGGTTTGCGGGAGGAAACTGCTCAGTTAAATGTCCAGGGAACTGTGCGTCTTATGACAGAGGTGTAGACATATGTAATGCAACTACTGAAGAATGTTTATTTGGTTGTAAAGATGGATTTTATGGTTCAAACTGCTCCGAAAGATGTTATGATGTAGACGGAAACTGTGAAAAGTGCACCGCAAGACATGATAATAAGTAAGTAGATTAATTAATAATATATCTTTGTAAAATACTAGGTATTTTTTTTATAAAAGTGTCTTTAATTTATTCTGTTTGCTTTATACGTAATTGTAACAAAAACCTGTGAATTAGATATGATTAGATTTTTTCTGACTTTGATTAACATTTTTATTTTAATTTTATTGACTTTAAGTTGTAAAACTTCTCAAAAAAAACAACAGTATAATAAATATGCTGACCAAGACAGTAAAAGAAATGGAAATGTGTCCATCGGATACTTCTGTTCCCTTTTTACAATAGAATATCTACATGCTTGCACTTTAATAAGTTTGGTAAATATATGACTGAGAAAATACCTTTTAATCACTCGGTATCATAAATAGTAGTGTTAGTACGAGTATCTTATAAAATAATACATGACAATCAAAAACAAAACCATACAAATGATGTATTCGACTATATGTAACACAATCATTCCATGTCACGATAACCTAATAAAATTATAAGTATTATGTTATGTAAATTTGTATCAAATAAAAATGATATATATTATAATGTTTGCACAGCGGAATTGAATGCATTCAATGTAGAAGCCACTTCTATATGTCAGCTGGTAACTGTTTATCGTGTAACTACTGGTGTTTAACTGTAACTGGAAGTATTGAGCCGACATGTAGGCAAGAGGATGGATATTGTAATCATGGTTGTAAAACAGGCCGTTATGGTTTCTTGTGTGGGAATAAATGTAGTTCCACTTGTAGAGATGAGTGTAACAGAGAAACTGGTAATTCTTGTGTTTTATATTACAACACTTACCGCATTTGTTTTATGATTAAGATTCACTGATTTTTTTTTTTAGAAAATATTCATTGTATCAAATTTGAATTAGATATTAATATCAACATAATAGATTAAGGACAAAGACAGGTCGTTTAAAAAACCCCGGCCTGAATAATCTTAATTAAAAGAAAATTTTCGGCCAGCAAAAATCTGTAAGATCACAAAAGATATTGCCAAGTGATAACATCATCAGGGTTCGGTATTAACTGATATTGCCAAGGATCCAAAAGGAATATCCAAGCTTTTAATACACCGATAAACACTTTCCTCAACTAGCGTATCTCACTGTATTAATCGTATGTAAAATGGGCTGACATATGGGGGGTTTAACAGTTAATTTAAATACTTTGGTGTCAAAAGATATGTAAAATTATATACTGTGACAAAGCTAAGATCCCAAGCTTTCCATTGATGTAATAATCTTTAAAATCGGACATTTAATCACAACAAACTAGCGGTTTAAAAATGGCTTAATTTGTATTGTTTTAGCGTAAGACTCGAAGATAAGGGAGACAACTAGTATTTTTTTACTCGATATACCTCGGTTATTTACGTAGTTCATATGAAAAGTGTTATGGGTGTATTGTGGGATCCATGTTATTTAAAAAACAAAAGCACTGAACTCCTAAATTACAGGACGTGAATTCAAATAGAGAAAATAATAATCCCTAAAGCCCAATACGAGACAATTCATGGGCAGAACTAAATAAAATGGAATTTTGAAAGGGGATCAGAGTCTTTGAAGTTTATGGTCCATAAGCGTTATTCTCTATTTATTATCATACTTAAAAGTTTAAAAAATGCGTGATTTCAAGTTATGCCACCTACAAAACAGTAACTTTGGCATGACTTATATCGGTCAGTACGAAAAAACGTGATCTGATATTTATATCAGATATAAGAGAATATACAAGACTAACAATTTAATGATCCAAAAGCGCATTCATAAATGCTCTTTTTTAAAGTATCATTAAACGATTTGTTCATCATTAATTTTAATTGAAACAGCAAGAGTGTTTAAGATAAGATTTTATTACCTGTATATTACATAAAAGTTCACCTTTGGTAATGGATTCTGTGTGTTAGCAAGGCGGTTAGCGTCAAACAGATTGACACGCGATCTGTTTTTTCTCAACTAGTTTGACATAGTAAATAATTTTGAATTACGATAATCTAGACATTGTCTTTGAAATTTATTTCTCAGATTTCTCAGCTCACATCACACATAAAATATTATGCCGGCAATATCGGGTACTACACACAGTGAACATTTTGGGATAAACCATGTTTTGTTCTACTGTTGTTCTACTGCAAATACATAAAATAATTTAACTAAGCTACTTTTGAGCACATCACTCTTCTATAGAACTATCAGAACTTTCAGTGCAAAATGGCAATTTGACAAACAACCTTTCGACAAATTGAACTTGTTTATTTTCAGAATCCATTGATAATACTTGATGTGGCTATGTATAACCACAAAATTCATTGATTTTTTTTTAAATGTGATCTGCGGATGTTTCTAGATTCAAAATTCTACCATTTCATGTTTAAATGTTGAATTCTGCTTAAGCCGGTGCTAGGGGGCGTGGACGGTAATTTGCACTTTCCAGTACCGTCCATGAACAGGCTCAATCAAACCGAGCCTGCAACATTTTCAATTTTGCCGTGTTGGGCTTTCTTTAGGGATTCTGTATTTATCTATTTTGTGAAAATGAGTTGCAACCGTTTTGCGCCGAGCCCACGACTGGTCTAAGTAAATTTAGATTCATTACTTAATTATGCTAAAAACATCAAGATAATACAGACTACTAGTTTCAAAAATAGCACGTCCTCATCATGAATGAAAATCAACAACAAAAAAATAACTAAATGTCAATGTACGGATATTAGGAAAAGAAAAGTAGTAAAACCGAAAAAAGAACAACGTCTTAATTTATATCAATAGTTCTGTCAACGATTAGGTGTGTTACATAATATGCAATATAGAAATAATGTAGAAATTATGTTGTATAACCAGAAGCCATAAATGAAGTGAGGTGATCTGTATGCTATTATTCACACACCATTCCATTCTATAGAGTATATTTATTATTATGAAGAAAAATAACATTTAGTTATATTTCATAATGTATCTGATATCTGTTTAAGGAAAGTGTTCAGAATGTAAATATCCAAGTTATTGCGGAGCAACTTGCAAAATATCATGCCCGTATGGATGTTTGTTAAAACAATGCAATCAAACGTGTCAGTGCATGAAAGGATGTGTTGCTACACATTGGGGAGAACAATGTCAGAGCCCATGTAACACAAACTGCATTAAACCATTAGATTATACACCCCATGTTTGTAATGAAACTGATGGGACATGCTTGTATGGTTGTATTGGCAGTGAATATTGGGGAAATCAATGCACAGAACCTTGTTCCGATGGATGTATAAATGGAACATGTGATCAAGAATCTGGAGTATGCATAGGAGGATGTACAACAACAACGGTGTATGGTAGGCGTTGTGATGAACCTTGTTCAAGTGGATGTATTAATGACACATGTGATAAAGAATCTGGGAATTGTACCGAAGGATGCAGAAATTCAACGGTATATGGTTCTCGTTGTAATATATCATGTAACGAAAATTGTGAGGATGGAACATGCAACAGAGATACCGGATATTGTGATAAAGGATGTAAGACAGGAACACACGGAAACAAATGTGACAAACAGTGCAGCAAAAGTTGTATGGGTCGCGCATGTGGAAGAATAAACGGCTTTTGTACATTTGGTTGTGTAATTGGGAGGTTCGGCAACCAATGTGAACTAATCTGCAATGACAAATGTTTGAACTTGAAATGTCAAAGAATCGATGGAAAATGCACTTATGGATGTATATTAGACTACTACGGATCTGATTGTAACTTCACTGAAGCTCTAACGAAAAACGACGAGAAAGGTATGATAAAGAAATTCACTGTTTCAATAAAAAAACTCCTTATTTTCCTTCCGATTCCAATGTTACTCTTAATTGAAATAATGTCAGGCATCAAATTATTAGTTAATACATCACGCTTAAATGACTGAATTTGATACTTTTATTACATTATGAACAAAATAATTGATGTTAAAGCTTTCACTTAAGTTTCAAATGTATTGCCAGTTGTTATGTCAATTCATTGCAGAAATAAGTTATGAAGACAACACTATGCTTTGGGTCACTATATGTTGTTGGTTTTTGTTTGTTATATTTATGGTTACTGTAGCTGCTGTTTTGGTTTTGAGAAGACGAAAGAACCGTAAAGGTAATGCTCGTACGAATTTGATGTTCAATATAAATAATTGAAACAATATAAGGCAATTAGGAATAGCGATATTACTGTTCATTGATAACAAAAAATGATTAAGATTGTATTTCGTAAAAAATTAATTTTCCAACAAGTAAACAATCATTATTTTTTAGGCGTTTGTGGATGTACAGTTTCGGAAAGCGTGATGTTTTTTTGTGTTGTTTCCTATCATTTAGCAACTTTTGATAACATAATATGTTGACGTACCAATGATAAACAATGTAGCCATTTTACAGATGATATCCAATATTTAGTCATATCTGTAACACAACACTTGACCCTATACGGATTGTTCATGTTGCTCATAATGCATATGCCGTTTAAGGATTGAACAACAAGCTTTTTTCCCTCTTCAATACCATTATATGTTTGCATTTAGATAACCAGCTGGCAAAAATTATATTTGCGTTTTCTACAGGTCACGGAAACCAAACAGATACATCCATTGAAGATCAGTCACCGATTTCGTACGTATTAGAATGTATATCAAGCTGTATGATACAACTAAACATCTTTGACTATCGGAGGTGTTTTAAAACTAGTTTGTATAAGATATATTTTTAAAAGTCAGATGACTAATATAATAAGCATTGTGTTAATTTTAAGAGACTCTTGTCAAATATGTTTGTAATCAATAAAATGGAAACTTAAAGTAAACGCACTCCATGGCTTATTTTGAAAGTGTTTCAGGTTAAACTTGGTTACACATGCACATTGAAGGAAATACTAGATGCAAGCTATCGTAATCAGTGTTGTTATATTTTTCCGGTCCTTCTGGATAATTGGTTCCAACACTATAAGTGTTAAAACTTGAGTATAACGGGGCGTGAAGCATGCTGCACTTTTTCATTATCTCTAATGTACAAGTTAAATAGTGAAAAACAGAATAAACCGAGACTGGGTTTTTCATGTAATTTTGTTGCGATTAATGCTTCCCATGGATCACACTTTTATCAAGATTTTTACCCTAAAGCATCAGTTTTAGCAAAATTTGATATTATAATATGTAATGGTGTTTAATAAAACTCCAAATAGTGTGTCATTCACAAATATGCTCATACGGCAGTTATCATAGAACCTTCAATATGATGTTTTCATTTCATTCCATGATCGCAGCGGTAGATTTTCAAGAAGTATAATTGGTGTGCTCTAAACATGAACAATGAGCAAGTCAAATTCACTTAAATGAATAATTATTCCTTTTTGATATTTTGACTTTAAGCTCTAGAAGGCAATAACCTTGTTGATGCAAACCAAGTGTAAAAACTAATTTTTAGTTTTATTTCAATTACAGTTTTCAGCAAGGGTATACATCATTACAGAAGGAACAATGTGATGTGAAAAACTACGAGAATTTACAGCTTTGAGGATTCATATTGTCATAGGCTACAACTTAGAACCCTGAATATATTGTTCGTTTAAACTTTTCTATATAATATCACAGTTCTATTGTTATCAAGTTATCAGACGTTTGCTTACGTAAAAAAATCTTTGATACTGTTTTCAATGTGTTCTTCATATTGTATAATGAATTGTGTATATTGTCTATTGTAAAATAATTTTGTTAAATACCAGGCATTGACCAGATCGATTAAAATATTGCTATGCCCGATGTTGTGTCTATCCGAATTTACATGTACCTGTAACTGTTTCATTATCGTCTGGTGGTCCAGATTGACCGCTTCGTTATTATTTCATTTTAATTTGACTAATTGTCACAGTATAATTATCGTCCATTTAACACAATTGTATGTTTTAATATTGATAACAACCATTGATATCACACAATTGTCCGTATATTTATGTAAAATTCAGTCACAGGTATAGCGCGCCATATTTGTTGTTGTCGCTGTATGCTCCGTGTGACGTCACATTCTAATCGCGTGATACGAGGTTCACAACAACAACAAAACAGTTATAGTAAAACCTCAGTCGAAAATCGAGAACTCGACCGGGTGGTCAGTGAATGGGTTATATATTTACTTTATAAAGATAAATAAGGTTTTACCAGTCTTTGATCCATAATAGAAATCCTAAATTTTAAATACTATAGATAAAGACCCCTTGACCAGATTGGGTCAAGAGTACTAAATTTTTACCTTCTTCTTAAGACGACTATCAGATACTTGGAACTGGATATATGAATTAAATCATTAACTGTATAAGTGAATTTGTTTATACTAAGTTGTTATAATATTTAAGCGAAAACTGAATTTGACCGAATCCGGTCAAGGTATATTGAACAATCTATATTTGTATATAAACTGTTTTAGTGTTTTATTGGTAGTTGTGTGTTTGACCCAATATTAAAATAGTGTGTAACTGGAACTCTGTCTTCTGTTGTCCATTTATATATAATTCAGTCCCACTAACTCCAAAGTAATTGGATTCATGTTTATGACCTTTTGAAATCAATACATCCTGACATTTACCTGATTGATTGAAAAAGGGGCATAACATTTGGTGTCAGAAGTGGGATCCAATATCTTTTGCACTGAATTGCTCAGCCTGATTTGAACCGGGTATAGTGATATATTGGAAAAGTAACAGACAACAGAGAATAAAAGAAAAACTGTTTTATTGATAAAAATATATATAATACATAGCAAAATAGCATCTGTTCTTGAATTGTGGATCTGTGGCTGGTTATTGTAATTGTTTTGTTTTCTGAAAATAGAAAGTGTATAGTTATAACATAAGTAAAAAAAATCTGATTTTTAGTTAACTGATAGATCTACAAAGTATTTAAAAGAAAAATGGAAGAATATCAATATGCATATGATTTCGGAGATCAAGCCTCAAGAAATAGCTCATTTTCTGACAATGAAAGTGAATTGAGAAATGATTTAAGTAAAGATAATGTACAGGGAGGTGAGAATACTTCTGATTGCACCGTAAGCTCTCCCCCTCAGGTAAATTCCTCAGAAAACTCTAGAATACAAGATCTAGAAGAATTCATGGAAAGCCAATTGTCCAATGTTTTAAATAAAATCACTTGTTTAGGAAATTCCATACAGAGTGTAAACTCTCAATTACAAAGGAAGTTTGAATCTGTAGAAAAAGAATTATATACAGTAAAATCTAAATTATCTCAAATTGAGAACCCTGACCCAGAAATACAGTTTAATCACAATATTCATAGAAATAGTATTGTAACAAATACAAAACAGTCCAACATGCATACTGATAAAATTGGGGATGATCAAGAAACCGCAAGTTCTAGAAATGTAAATCAGTCTATGCATACTGTCTATGAAATTGCCCCAAACTATAGAGCAATGTCCCCAGGTCAACATGGCGGCAACTTGAAAATGAAACCTAAACCATACAATGGTGAGGAAGACTTACAAGATTTCCTCACACAGTTTGAAATCACTGCTGAAATAAACGGGTGGGGTTATTCACAAAAATCTCTATACTTAGCCAGTAGTCTGACAGGTGGGGCACGGTCATTATTAAGTGAAATGAATGAGAGGGAAAGACGGGACTTTAATTCCTTAGAGGAAAAACTAAAAGCTAGGTTCGGCTCTGAAAACAAAGCCGAAGTATTCAGAACCCAATTAAAAACTCGAACCAGGGGTAAAAATGAGACAATACCTGAAATGGCCCAGTCCATAAGAAAAATGACCAGGCAAGCATACCCTACTGCTAGTCAAGATGTAATAGAAGCCTTAGCTCTGGACAATTTCATTGATGCACTCAATGGTTCAGATGTAAGATTAAGAGAAATTGTCCCGAAAAATATATTTGGAGCCGAAAAAAACAGCCGTTTGTATGGAAGCACACAGACTAACAGATAGACAAAGAAGTAAGTTAGTCTGTACTGTTGGTAATACTGAGAAAAATATGATAACAAGATCAACAAGGAAAGGCGGCGTTCAATGAACGCAACCCCCACCCGACTCAGCAACAAGAGCCAGTGGCAAGGAGCCCAGGAGGATCCCCAAACAAAAACAGGACAGTGCAAGGGCATGGGCAGGCTAACCATTAAAATCATAAATAATTAGTAACTGATAAGGAACTAAAAGAAAACCAATAAACTATTGAATAGGCCTATAAAGTCAAAGGGCACAGGGGAAGGGGACAGGAGACCCGGGGAAGGGAGGGGTTAATTAAAATAAATAAAAACAAGGGGCAAAGGGGAAGATATTTACCATAGATATGAAAACAACAAGGGACACAAGTGTCACCAAAACAGTATGAAACAACATAGACATACATGTGAGGAACACAGAGGGGCGCCGCCTTGGAACGGTCAGCTGCAAAAGTACTGCTGGTGAGTTTAAACCGGTTAATGGTGCACCAAACCTTGCTCTTAGCCCCACCATGTTCCTATAAACGAGACAGTGTAAATAAAATTAATCCCCGCCAAGTGAAATTCTAACAGTTGTCATGGTTACAAAAGGTTAAATAAGTAAAACACCAAAATGATCATGTAAAAACATATAAAAGTAAACCCAATGACCATAACAAAAGTACTCAATGTCCTAAAGGAAGACAGAGCACCAATGAAATCACCTACAAGGGCCCGAGAAGTCTCAGGTTAAATTAGATAATGACATACCAGAAGTCGATCAGAGGCAGGTTAGAGTAGAAAGTAGTTCTGAAAGACATGATAAAGGGTTTAACCAGAACAATTGGAAAAAACCAGTACACAAAAGAACACACGACCAGTTCTATGGTACATTCAGAACGGAAAATAATAGACCAAAATAGATTTAATAAAAGTCAAACATATCATAAGAGTACTAGTATAAATGGCAACAATTATAGAAACTATGAAAATTTCTCTCAAAATGGAAAAGTACTTGTGTCACAACCAAGGGTAAATGCAAAGCACATTTCATTGAACAACACAGTAAAGTGAATTATAAATGTGTAAAATGTGCCAAGGTGTTCCTTAGAAATACCCCATCTAATTTCTGTCATACAAGTAAAAATGACTTTACCAGATTCCATACCGTCACGGTCTGTTTGACCCAATATTAAAATAGTGTGTAACTGGAACTCTGTCTTCTGTTGTCCATTTATATAGTATTTAGTCCCACTAACTCCAAAGTAATTGGAGTTCATGTTATGACCTTTTGAAATCAATACATCCTGACATTTACCTTATTCATTGAAAAGGGGGCATAACAATATGTACATATTTATCTCAGACGCTGAAACAGTAAACTTATGTGTACAAATGAATTTAAATGTTTATTAACTACAGATCCGTGGGGACATGAAACTCCTTGAAATTACGATTTCATCTTCGTATATTCACAAATTTTCATTTCAACTTCATAAATTTACGATTTCAACTTCATTCATCCATGATTCTAACTTCAAAAATTCAACTTTGCAAATTCACGAATTCACTATTTTAAATTCATGAATTCACGTTTTAAACTTCAGGATTCAACTTAACGAAGTTGAAAACGTGATTTCACGATGTTGATATCGTGAATTCACGGAGTTGAAACAGTAAATTTGCGAAGATGAAATCTTGACTTTACGAAGTTGAAATCCTGATTTCACGATCTTTAAATCGTAAAGATGAATTCATGAATTGTGTATATATTAGTATTAGTGTTTGACATATCGATGTCTTCAAAATAAGAAACAATAAACAACCAAATAAATAGATAAACTAAAACATACAAACAGAAACAACAAAACATTGTACTCCTCCAATAAAATTTTGGTATGGTAACATAACACTGGCCTATTTTGCAAACGTTGTATATTATATATAAATTTTTATCACTTAAACACTGGTAAAGTGATTTGGTCAGTATTGTAAGGTAAACCATAAATAAACATGTTGATAGAATGTAGTATAATATGTGACAATAAACCACTAAAGAGCTATTGTTGGATGTTCTTTGTAATTGGTGTGGGATATATGATCTGTACTTACATACATGTATATATAATTAGCTGATAATTGATGGTTCTAGAACAGCATACATTTTGTATTATTATTCACCGTATAAATGTTCAAATTAAAACAGACACCTATCAACAGTTTGTTTTAATTATTTCTTAAGAAACAATTCATTTCTATTGTTTTCATTACTATTTGAACAACTTATAGGTGTGTGCCCATTGCATAGACTAATCCTGTTTGACGAAATCTATCATATACTAACTAATAAAATTGTTCTCTATTTTCTTGTTCACTTGTGTCGTGATGATATATATTTAAAGTCAAGTAGCAATCTTGAAAATCACTACATTTTCATTCTTCACATAAACTCCAAATCTTAACACCTTAATATTAACGAAATGTTTGTTGTTTTTTCTATTTATTTCAGCTTTGCGTTTGAGTTCGTAAACCTTTTTCATTCCGGTTCATTTTATACTAAAATTTGAGCCAGCCTCTGACAACAAACAATGGATACTCATAAAATAATTGTACTCATACAAGTCCCTTTTTCTCTTTTTCGATATATTCAAAGATTTTATAAGATATTTTTAAATGTTCAATAATCATGAAGCTGCGTAGTTATTATCAAACATTTTAAAAATGTATCGTATATCTGTTTGACTTCCATTCGCGCTGGCAGAAAGGATTTGATAAAATGAATTATTTCTTACTCTACTCGAGTAAACTGATAAGAAAAAATGTAAATTTCCTTATCTTATGGCTCAACACAGTTTATAATTTCATTAATTATTTTTCTTTCATCAAACTTTCTAGCTTGTTATTTGGTCTGATAAAAAAGTTATACATTGTAGTTGTTGACTAAACATGTGCGGGGGAATAAATCTAAATTTGTCATTGCGGTTATTCAAATCACGCTATGAGGCTTATGAGTAGTCATACATTGTTTGAAGTATCTTTGAAGTATTCACCCGTAACAAAAGTACGTTGTTTTGGCTTTGAAATCCAATCTAGTGACACGTCTGTTGGGCTCAAATTAATACAAAACAGTTCACCTCTTGCAAGCATTTTGACAATTCTACGATTGTCACAGTCTGTTCTTCTTTGGTCAAGTTGTGCAGGGCCCATCGTGCACAAATATTTTCTTAGTTTTTAACTCGTGAGTCAAGATTTTATTACCTGGACTGTTGATACAACAACACTTTCACTGTAAGTTTAACATATAGTTTAACATTTTACCCCATGAGTATATTGTGAAAAATGGCTGTTTTCATTGAAGCCTCCTGTTACAAGTTCAAACTGCTATAAAACTATGAACAATGCTTCAATACTGATGAAGTTTGGCACATATGTTAACTGGACCATAACCTCTGTAACAACATGCTCAATCGTAAATTTTCTGTTACCATGGCAACGAGGGGAAGTCTCGAAATTGCGAAAAATCACCATTTTGCAATGTTTGTTTTTTTACATCAAAACTGATTTCAAAGTGCTGCAACTTCTCAATGAATTAAGATAGAGTAAAAGGCTTTTCAGCGTCGGTTACTAGTTACCCTAAGATCGACCTGAGGTCATTTTTAGCCTGTCAAATGTCCCAATTTTCTTGGCGATGAGGGGGACTACCACCCCCTTCAACCCCCCCCCCAAACAGAAGGGGGCGAATCGCTCTTCTGGCAACCGCCTTATGTACCATTTTGATGGGAGACCGCGCCAAAAAAATGATCACTTTTTTAACAACATCTCTCAAATGAAAAACAGTGTTTGAGGCCTAAATAGGGCATTTTTCACTGTTTGAGGCCTCAAAGGAGGGGGGGGGGGCAAAAAGCCGTCAAACACGTCTATATAACGGAAAAGGTTAAATAAATTTTCCACAGCAGCAACTTAAGCTTAAGTAGCAGGAGTCATGGGCTGACCAGAAGGGGCAAAGGGACATCTTTTAAGTTAGTTTTTGACTGTTTTAACTTTTTTACACAACACAGAGGCGCAATGTGTGTGACACAATTCATCATATATCTTCGAGGCTGTTAAGACTAACATGACCCCTTTAATTTAGACCTTTTATTCAAAGCTTGGCGCATTTTTCATTGTATTGACAGTAATACAGCTAGTATAAATGACTTCACATATTTTGATTTTCAATAACATTTGGAAGACTGCACGAAAAACTACAAAATGTAAATGACACAATTTAATGAACGTCTCTCTTATTCAATACAACTGAAGCTTCTGTCAACGGTTACTTAAACTGATGTTTTTTTATAAATGCTGTTTACATCAAAACATTAAAAATAGAAACAATCTTTAAGGTTTTATAGCTTGTCGTTATTAGGAAGAGTTTTTATATTTACATGTAGTTTACTTTGATATTATTTTAATTTACAAGGTGTAATATTACAAATTTATTTTATCCCACGCTTTGTAAACTTCCTAGTTTTATGATAAATTTTAATCTGCGTTATATGCCATTTCAATACTTCTATTCAATTACTTAACGTACCATGTGTTATGAATCTGTTTATATCTATAAACGGAATATAAATGTTCAAGAAAGAGACTCAACTTTACAGTTAGCAAAAGTGATATATTTGCAACAATGATTGAGCTATTTGGACTTACAGTTCTTCTTTTAGGAAGTAAGTAAAATTATGTTTAATATTGCATGTAGTTAATATTTTTGGTAACTAGATATCAAATCTTAATAAGCGTCATGTCTGTAAGTAAGTGTACGGAGCATTGGTTTGTTTTTTACTGTATTGTAATGAAAGTCTTAAAGCTATCAATAACTGGTTAAGGAATCTCAATTTAAGTGAAAAAAGATTACCTTTTTTCGTGCATTAACATCTGCAGAAACACTTAGATAATTTTAAATGCCCGGGCCACAGGGCGAGATATCAAATAAGTCCGATGGCTTTTGATTAAATAAGTGATAGTATGCATTACAGTAAACTATTTTACACGGTTATGTCAATTACGTGCAACAATTGCACGTGCATGCGTGATTTTATCAGTTTATGCATGTTCATTTCCCCGCATTTGTATAGCTACGAATGGAGTTTTTTAGGCATGAATAAGTTCAATATCTGTGGGCAGAAAATACCTTTGATTGTTGTTACATAATCGAGATATACTTTTTAAAATAGATTTGGTCATGTATGGATTAACTTAGGGGTGATAATATTGAATTGTTCTTTTTTGAATTATCAGAAAGATTGCGTGATTGATAAACAAACATGGCGGGGGTTTATAAAAGTATAAAAATTTTAAGAGGATCATTCCTTAAATCAATTCGAAAATTCTTAAAACCGGTCACTAATTTTTAAATTTAGATGCCGATTACTGCCCTTAAGTTACCAATACTGGATTCGTCTATAACTATGAAATTAACGAAGGATTTGTCAACTTTCCTACTGACCGAAATGATGTTTATGATATACTGTTACTTGGTACTCACTCTCATACTAGGACTTCTACGTGACGTTTAGATGGACAATCCTACAGGTTCAAAATCCATATCTGTTCTAAGCAACTTAGATGCAACATTTATAATACAAATGTACACTAACTACATCATGCACTTAAAAATAGACGCCAATTTATAACCCAAATCTATTTATTACATCTACTTACTTAAATATTCTTTTAATATATCTTAACCAATTGTTACTGATTATAATATAATGTTATTCTACGTATAATTATGACCATTTGAATATATTTTCAATGTATTTTCATTGGATATTCATGTGTTTTGTTTTCGTTTTGTTGGTTTTTAGCTGTATGACTATGCTGTTTGAAAAACAATACTTTAATTTTAACTGAAAACCTTTACTTCTGTGAACCATTTCTGGACAAAATTGTCAGCTAGATATACGAGGGGAAGTCAGAAACTATACGGACCTTTGACTCGTTCTCGAAAACCATTCAACATTTAAAAAAATTCTTTCTACTCTTTTTCAAAATATTCTCCACCTACGCCAACGCACTTTTGCCATCTTCGTGGGAGCTTTTGTATTCCCGCTGTGTATTCCCACCTATGTTTTAGGTACTGTGTAACAGCAGATATCAAAGCCGCCCTGGTCTTATATTTCTTTCCAGCAAGCAATTTAACAAACAAGTACAAATGTTGCTGCAATGCAGCAATTGAGAAGCTCCGCGCAAAAAAATGTGCTCATTACAGATACCTTACCAAATTATTCCTACGCACAGGGCATGTTATATTCAGATTAAGTACTATTGTAGATTTTTTTCCGAATGTTTTGTAAACCATTTTTTGCATAATTATACTTATCTTATGCACTGTCCATAATTAAAAAGAGGGGATTTTTTTTTAATATAAAATTGCTTTCACTGATGCCTACCTGGCAAGGAAGGTAATTCCATTGAATACAAACAAGACTTGTAAATGTTATGTGACATGAATGTACTGTGTTCTGTTTGTGTCACTACTGTAGTCAGTAACAGAAGATGATCGAAATATCAAAGTCTGTTATAATTGTAACAAATATACAAATAGTAACAAAAGGGTCTAATATTATAATATAGTAATATTACATGCATATTTTTCATGTCAAATTAAAAAAAACGGTTTCTTTCAATACTGAAAGTAGAACACACTCTGGAATGAAAAAATGGGATAAATTTATATAATATAGTAATATTACATGCATATTTTTCATGTCAAATTAAAAAAAATGGTTTCTTTCAATACTGAAAGTAGAACACACTCTGGAATGAAAAAATGGGATGAATTTAAAAAAGCCCAAATTCAGGATTTTTTTGTTTGTTATACACGCGTGACATGGTGATACAGTATTTAATAATATAATAGAAGACTGTTACCTGAATTTTAGGTAGGTATGAGGAAATTCACTAATATCATATTCGTGCGAGACAAAGATATGAAAGCTATTTGACATTGGTAATATATAAAAAAACTATCGTTTATTAATTTTTAGGAAGATCAATATATATTTATTTTTGAATTGCTTAAAAACCATTCATAAAAAAACATCACACTTCATGTTCAAACTGCAGATCAAAGTTTCTGTTGTTGTCATGATATCTATCTATAGCCTATGCTTAAGGTGATTCCGCGTTGTCAGCCATGTTTGTTTTCACTAAAGTCTGTCCAAAGTGAAAGCTCTTATTGTAAAATGATGAACCATTTGAAAGTACACTTCCAGGTTTATATTTTAAGGACAATTATAAACAAAAATAAAAATGATAACAATAAGAATATTAACCTATAATGTGCTACATTTCTGAAGACCAAAAACATTCTGTTGCAAAGATTTATGCACATTTCATGAATGGCAAAATCCTTTTTAAAGTGTTTTGTGCCAACAAAAGCTATTTTTTTGCAGCAAATACAAAAATCTTTCAAAACTTAACTCCAAATAAATCAGTATCTCATGTCCTTCTAAGCGCATGGCCTCCATTATTTTTTTGTAAAATATGTAGTGCAAGAAAACAATCATCATTTATGGCCTAATAAACTACAATTAAAATGAAAACACAATCAAACTTTAAAATCTAACCTTTTTATGTGTAACAATGAAGTGTGTCTGTTTGTCATGAACACAAGAAATAGGTAAATGATGTTTATTTTCATGGTACTACTTTTTTACAGATGTAATGGAGGCAATGTTTTTTCAAGGGCAGATAAACTACTTTCCTAAGATTTATGTTATTTAAAGTTTTTTGCATTTTCTGCAAAAAATAGCATTTGTTTGCACTAAAATAGACTTTAATGAACACATCTGCGGATGTTTCTAAATTCAAAATTTTACTATTTCATGTTTAAGTGTTGAATTCTGCTTAAGCCGGTGCTAGGGGGCGTGGACGGTAACTTGCACTTTCCAGTACCGTCCATGAACAGGCTCAATCAAACCGAGCCTGCAACATTTTCAATTTTGCCGTGTTGGGCTTTCTTTAGGGATTCTGTATTTATCTATTTTACACCGCTGGAAATTGCCATTCATGAAATATGCATAAAACTTTGCAACAGAATGTTTTTGGTCTTCAAAAATGTAGCCGATTTAAGGAAAATTCTTATTGTTATCATTTTTATTTTTGTTTAAAATATTCTTTTAAACATATAATTGGAAGTGTACTTGCAAATGGCTCATCATATAACAATGTGAGCTTTGTTGTTATATGAATTTTGGTTTACTTTCACTTTGGACATACTTTGTGAAAACAAAAATGGCTGAGAGAGCGGAAACACCTTATTGAAGGTCCATCCGCTCGTAAGGCTACAAAATGCAGCGGATACAAAATGCAGCTCTCGCTGTCGAGTACGTACCCCCGAACATATCACCAGTCTTACCACTAACTTTATTCTTTTTCACAAAGTGGTATGCTGTTCCAATGACGCGATTGAAATGTAACTTTATATACTAAAGTTTAATTATTTCAAAACAACCAATATATAAACATGTTATTATTAAACATTTAATTTCATAAATATAAATTAAAAATAATTATCAAAAGCAAAATTGTTAAAATTTTATGCCTGAAATTTTCTTTATATTGACAAATTCAATCACTAATAGTATACTTGATATGCTGCGTGTAAATGTATTTCAAAATGTAACAAATTATAATTTCATCTACTACTAAAAAAGAGAAATAACAAATTAATAACCGAAGTAACATTTATAGCTATTTATAGCTTTCGAATTTATGTAACAGCAGAACTGCTTTCCGGTTCTCATTCATCAATATGACATGCTGCGAATCACCGACGGGGAAACCAATATAGAAATTGAAAGGAGTTCTTGAATGCGGATTAACTTTAAGCTGTTAATCGAAAGGATTTATTGCTCAAATCCGGGTCCATGGACAAAAAAAATAGTAAACACAAACAGCTCCGCGCCTGTGGGCGCGGAGCAATAAAAGTCACAGGGGGCGAGGTCTGGGCTATAAGGAGGGTGAGACAACACTTGCCATTTGTAAGAGTTGATAACCTCCACTGTAGCTGCAGCGGTATGGGAGGGGGCGTTATCGTGAAGAAGGAGGACATTTTCTGTGCTAACCTGGGACGCATTTGCTTCAGCTTTTCTCTGAGATTTTTCAGAATTACTTCAGAATAGTACTTGGCGGTGACAGTTTGACCTTTTCGCATGAAATGAGTAAGTATCATTCCTTGTGAATCCCAAAAGGCAACAAGCATGACTTTGGCCAGCCGAAGGAGACAGCTAAACTTTTTAGGAGGTGGGGAACCAGCTAGATTCCACTGTTTTGACTGAGCTTTTTACTCAGGTTCGGAATAATGAACCTACATCTCATCTCCAGTGATATTTCGGTTCAAAAACTTATCTCCTTCACGATTAAAACGACTTAAATGTTCTTTTGCATTGGTTACTCTGGTTGCCTTTTGATCTGCGGACAGCTGTCTAGGCACCCACCTGGCTCTTACCTTGCTCTTGCCTAGGTGTTCGTGTAAAATCTTGCCTTACCGATGCTAAACTTGTTGGCTACCTCCTCCAAAGTTACTCGACGATTTTTGTTGACAAAAGCTTTAACATTTGCTACCATTGTTGGGGTCACCGCCTTAGCTGGCCGCCCAGTCCTGGGCCTGTCACAAACTCTTGTTCTGCCTTCACGAAACTGAGAAACCCAGTTGTAGAAG